TCTTCTTCATGTTCCTCGTGTGTGTTTAGTCTCTCCATGACATCAGTGGAGTTGAGGCTTTTGAAATCAAGATGCTCTCGAATCATCAGAACAAGCGTGTCAAACGAGGTGTCAAGAGGTCGAAGCAGTTTCTTCACAACTTCATGGTCAGTGATATCTTTGGCACTGAGTCCTTGAAGTTCATTAATTAGCTATGTCACTGAGGCGGTCGAATGTTTGCTGACAGCTTTCATTTCCAATGCGCTTGAAGCAATTGAACTTTGCCCGAAGAGTATCAATTTGAGCTTCTTTCTAAGTTGAAACTCCCTCATTGATCTTTTCGAGGACATCCCATAGCTCCTTTTCAGTCTCACTCTGGCAATACCGAAAGGATTGTGCACGAGAGAGATGGCCACCAATTTCATCTTTGACTTGAGCATCCAGCTGAATGAGCTTCTTTTCTTCATCGGTAGGAGCTTGAGGAATAACAACTGTGAACCTGATATGCACCACGTTCCACATATCATCATCTATAACTCGAAGACGGATCTTCATCTTCTCCTTCCAGAAGGGATAGTCCGTCCCATCGAATATGGGAATCTTGAGATGCGACTTGTAGTTCACTGAAGACATACTTAAACTCCAAAGTCGTTAAACTAAAATGAGCAAAGTCAAGGAGTACCTTGCTATGATACTAATTGTAATTACAAATTATGTCTACCATAGGAGGTGAATGGGAGTTTTAAATTTTCTTCGGAAAACTTAAATCTCTCAGGACCCAACAGTGGAATAAAGGATAAATAAGCTAAGAATAACTACAACGAAATACCAAAGGGAAACTAAAGCATGCATCAAATTAAATTACATGAATGGAATGCATTGAAAGAAAAACATGAGTGACAGAGGTAACCAAAGATGCTCGATGGTGACAAGGTATTTGTTCGACCAGTTCGTCCTTCTGCACAAGGACTACGTCTGGTTGGAGGGGTTGTGACTTAACACGAAAGATAAACTCTCTTCACCCTATTCTCCTCAACAATCGATTCGTCAACTGATGTCGATCACTCGTGGTAGATACTTGAAGGCGGTCTCCAAACCTTTACATACTTCTTCGAGAACCACAATCACTCTTGGTCTATGAAGAAATTGACACCTAACCGTCTAGAGAGTTTGCAGCTCTCAAGAGTGAGCGTACTAAACTTAGATTCCAGTGATGTTGAACCACTATCTAATTCTTCGGCTCAGGGTTTTTCTCTCGGTGGATTTTAAACTCAAATCGCTCAGAGAGGGGGTCGCTCAACAATCTTCTCAGAATCAAACGGAGCAGCCACCGGACAAAGCCGCGTCGGGTGGCTATTTATAGCCGCAGCCTTCCTAGATGGGAAATGACCATTTTGGACACAAGGTCCAGACAATGGCCAACCGACACGTTCACAACGGTCGGATTTTGGAGCAATAGTAACATTACTTGAGGAACAAGTAATGCTAACTCCTCGATCCAAGGCAAATCTCTCGCAACGAAGAAGATCATAGTCTCTTGCTGGCAAGTATTTGCTCAGAGCATAAAGAGATTTCTCTCACAGCTTTCATAGGATTTGGTTTTAGCATCAGAGAATCAAAGCTTTGAACGCTACACCCCTCTTGATAGTACGGTGGTCCTATGAATCAATGAAAGAAGAAGAATAACAAAATAAATGCTAGGTCTTCACTTCATCTTCATTCTTCCTCGAACGCAGTTATTTGCTTTGGACATGCACCAAACCAATTGCTTCAACTTCAGCAATGTTTAGGGGTCACTCTTGATAGCTTTATCTTCGGTTATAGCCTTCACTACTGCGCAGGGAGATTATCTTCATCGTTTGCATCAAACTCCTCGATACATCAGGGACCTGTTCCTTTGTGTGCACTAGCAAACACATAAGTCTCATACTGTTTATGTCAACAAACTCCAAAACTTAAGGGGCCTGTCATTGCACCAACTGTTCCTAACATTCTGGAAAAAAAATACGAGTTCCTCGCGAATTTGTGCACTTCTCAGAATGTGAGTGGAATCAAATGCACATATCCAATTAGGCCAACTCCAACGCACGACCCCAAACGAACATCCATTTTGTCTATTTGGGTAGGGCAATGGGGCAGCATCCGACCATTTTCCTGAATGCGCTAGTTGTGTAACCAACGCGCGGACGCATCTCGTCTGGCCGCATGGAACACCCCGGTCGTAATTCATGCCAGCGGCCATAGTTCATGCCGGCCAAACCGTCAACGGCCAGCATACATATGTCAGCCTACAAAATGATCAACCCCCCTAGTTTTCACGCCGACAACAAACCCAACGGCCGACATGCTTGCCAGCCTACAGAATGATCAATCCCGAAGTTCTCTCGCCGGCAACAAAGGCAGCAGTCGGCACCCTTGCCAGCCTTAAAAATGAACAACCCCAAGTTTTCTCGTCGGTAACAAAGGCAGCGACCGGCACACTTGCCAACCTTCAAAAAGAACAGCCATAATCCACGGCCGAGTACTCCCTAGTTCATGTGTCTTGGTCGAACATCTCCTTTTGTCGGCTCTCAAACCAACTTCTTTTCGGGGACATGTTGGTCAAGTCCACGCTCATGATTGCTAGCGCCACCTCTTTTGCCTTGTTGTCAACATTGGTGACCTCAATCGCGAGCTTCTTCATTTGGACGGCCTCCTCCATGTCGAGCTTCTTCGTTTGGAGCTCCTAGTATATCTTCATTTGCTCCTCCTTTCCTTGGCGCTTCCTCTCGTCCCTCACTTTCTTTTGAGACATCATGTCATGCAAAGTTTCTTGCAAGGTGATAGATGCCGCATCACGCTTCTCGTCAATCTTCATTTGGACGGCCTCCTCTATGTTGGGCTCCCTCCTCTTGGCTGATACAATGTCGAGCCACGCGACCCTCCGCCGGCGTGAGCTCCGGCCACGACTTCTTCCTCGTCGTCATCGCGGGACGGGCGGTGGTGGCGGCCAGGTCGCTGGTTGCGGGTTTCTTTGGGACGCCAACCATGGAGGAGGGAGGGGATGGGGGTGTGGGAGGGTTTTTGGGAATGAGAGGGAAAGTGGGCGCGATGTGTCCCCGACGGGCGGGCCAGGGGCGGACAAGGGCGCGCATCTCGCCGTTCGCACGCTGTCCCTTTCGACGCAAATATGACCCAAATTTGGACCGGGAATGGGCCGGTGGTGTACAAAAAACGGACATTTGTCCGTTTGCTCCTGTGCGTTGGGCCGCGATTTGTGTCCGTTTACCCGATGCTACCGGACCATTTGGGGTCATGCGTTAGAGTTGGCCTTACGAACAAGCGGAAAAGTTCAGGCTATATTCAGGATTTATAAATAGAACAAAACAAGATGATATGACAATAAGCATTAAACATGTGAATCATGCATACATAAGATCCAAACAAACAAATTTTGGTCAAGATATAAATGGAGATATATAGTAAGATCATTATTTTAAGCATGAGTCCAAAATACGTTGAAAACACATGTGTGTGCAAATATTTGGCAAAATCATTTGGTTTGCTACCAACATTTGACATTGCCAATATTTGGCAAGCCAACATTTGGCAAAATCAAAAGTTGCCAACATTTGGCAACTTTTTGTGAGATTGGCAACAAAAATTGGCAAGCAACCAATCTCTAGCCAATATTTGGCAGTTGCCAAAATTTGGCATGCCAACTTTTGGCATCAAACCAATTATGCTCCAAGTGACCGACAAGGAATAAGATTACCAATGAAAGAAAAGCACTTTCTCGCGTGTATAAGTTTCTAAGTGCAAAACATTCATCACAATTTGCATCCACAAAGAAGCTCGCGGACATAAGCTAGTTGCTGGAGATAAGAGCATGATATCCATGAGTGAATCCATTAGACACATGGCGCAAAATGGCCTTGTTTGCATAACAGTGAATTAACAAGCATAAGAAAAATACCACAAGTAAAGAGAGTATTTTTTTTGCAATTTCATCAATATTGCATGTGAGAGCACTTTGAGGAATTGATATGCAAAAAAATGCTTAATTTTCATCATATTTGGGATAAATAAATGATTTATAAATGCCCCTGGTATGCTTCTTCTAAAATGTCACACATGTTTCCACAACTCAAAACGGTGCCCAGGCTCATCTACGTATGGTGAATAGTAATTTTTTAAACAATAGTAAAAAAATCCACAAAAAGATAAAAAATTTAGGCATCCAAGATGCTCATGTGGGCAAGGTGCATGTGAAATTTCGTGATTTTTGGACATTTGAGGAGCCGCATGTTCTAACTATATTGAGGTTTAAAGCTATCCCGAAAAGAAAAAAAAACACACAAATTCCACAAGTACTTTTCATGCCATGAGGCAACTCGCTGGATTAAAATGTAGCCAAACCGCGCCATAGATGACACGTGAGCTGACATTGCCTCACACAACATATTTTATTTTATTGATGTCATGCTATTTTTCTTCCTCCACTCCTCTCTGTTCTCTCTTTCCCCTGGTATTAGCTCGGGTGATAAACGGAATTGAAGATTTTAGAGAGAAAAGGCAAGCTAATTGCAGCACCACCATGGAATGCATGTTCCATCAATGATTTTAGCTCAACTGATATGGCTAAAGTAACATTCTAAACACCGTTTTTTTTCTCGCAAAAAAAAAATGGGTCAGGTGGAAAATGCATGGCTGACCTTGTTCTCAAGGAACAAAACAAAATGGATCAGGTGGAAAATGCCGGGTGGCATCGTCTGCTTAGATGTGATGGTGAACGGCCAAACTTATGCCACATCACACGAATATGTAGCAGCAAATCTCCCCAGTCAAGTATTAACCTAAACCCTTAACGACCGTATGTATTTCGAGTCCATTGGTATCCAGTGCCAAAACTGAACATACACCTCGAGTAGGATGACCACGGGTGTACGTATTACACTCTTTCATCCACAACAGGCAAGCACGGGCGCCGCCTTGGCCTGCTTGTGTTGCTGGCAGTGGTGAGAGGCCCGTCGAGAGAAGACTCACTTCTTCTCCGCTGCTTTATGCTCTGGAATCTTCAGAATGCCACCGTCGATGAGCGGCTGCACCTCGGATCTCGCTAGATCCTTCACCTTGGAATCCCGAGATTCCAGATAGGCAGCCACAACCTTGGAGCTGCAGCGGCCGACAAATTCAACAGAGTATCAGCGCATTATTCCTTTATTTCCTTCAAACTACCAACTCAGCAGTGCAATGCAGGTACGTAAATTGCAATAAATAGTTGAAATTGTATTCATCGCACTTGCATGGTCCACAAATTTGATGGACAGATTAAACAGCTGACATATCGATGAGGGGTCATTCTAAGGTACCTGAATCCATCTGCAAATGACTTGCACTTCCCTTTGAGGGCTTTTTTCCATAGGGTAGCGGCAAACGCAGGGCAATCAAGTATCATCTTTCTGATTACGCGGCTCGAGTGGTAGTTATCAAAGGCGTGCTCAACATCTTCTGTCCTCGGGCGTGCTGCGTCAGAAGCTATAGCATTGTGAAGCACGTGGATCCTGTCGGTGACCCCCTCCAAGACATTATTTTTTCCACCTACAGCAACCTTGGAAAATTGGCAATACAGAATCTCAGTAGGTGCAATCATGAAGCTCTTCAACAGTCAATTACTCATTTGCATCAAGAGTCAGACCACGGAAACAGTAGGTAAGGTAGGTTTGTGTGTAGACTGGAGTGCCGTTTTCTTTTACAGGAGGTTGATTCATCATTAAGGAAAAGTGAATAACAGTAATACTACGAGCAGGCATAAGGACCAACACATTCCAGAGAAAAGGCTCCACCAACTCATAAGAATATTTCCACATTGTCGAATAATAATCAGAGACAATGCTCGTCTCTTATGAAGGTCATGCAAGTAAAAGCATTTTTATCCCAAGTAGCTCATTTCACGAACAAATAGCATAGATGAACGAATATTCTCCCAAGATACTGGCTATACAGGTACAGGTAGAAGCATGGAGCATGGACCAAGGAGATTACCTCGTATAATACATCTTTGCCGAAGTTTGTTCTAAGTAACTCCCCAACATTTTCAATGCAAATCTCGATGAGAACCTGCAAAGAAAAAATAACACCTACATTATTGCTTGGATTAGGGGATACGTGACTATGGGAGCATAATAATGTCGGGATCAGGGTGTTATGGGAGCGGAGTAATGTTGCGACTAGGTTTTCCTTGACAAATGGTCACCTTTAAATCATACTCCCTCCGTCCCAAAGTAAGTGTCGCTAATTTAGTACAACTTTATACTAACTTTGAACTAAATCAATGACGCTTATTTTTGGACGGAGGGAGTACTACCGCAAGAATAAAGGTAGATCTCTTGAGGTGGGAAACTACATACTCCAAAAGAAATGACGTTGAATAAATAAATAAAAAGTTAAATACATGTTACAAGTATCACCTCAAAAAGCTCGCTTTTCACCAACAGTTCTTGCCGCCGTTTAAACGGGTCCTTCTTGCTATCAGATGCAACCAATGTGTCTTCTGAACCCCCATGTTCTTTGTCAGCGACATCATCCAACTTACTATCCAAGTTAACTTTAGTAGCACTCTCTGATGCCTCATCCTGAAACAAAAAAAGCAAATTTCTGGGGGCCTGTCTCTCTTCAAAGTACTTAACAGTTAATAGAGTAGGTAACTTGCCTTTGAAACAAGGGAAGGCACACTGTACTTCAGACAATTCAAATCAGTCGGAGTCAGATAACGTGAGCAAAGTGGGTGAAGTAGCTGCAGCAATGGGCGTCTCCCGTTCTGTTCCAGCAAGGAGCTCAATCATAAATAGTCTCATCTCTCATGTGGGTATAACTAATAGCAAATAAAAATAAGGATATCAGAAGCTCGTTATTCCTTTTACCTTGTCAAATATGAGTTCCTTTAACTGCTTTGTCAGCTCATCAATTACAACCTACAAATATTGAAAGTAAGCTATAATAAGCACATGAACGGCTGCCTCTTCAGATTGCTTGTAATGGCAGCATAATACTTGCTACAAGCAAACGATTGGTGCTGGCTAACCTTAGTAACAAGTTTTGTGTCATCAACAATGGAGAGAAGACAAGCAAGGAACTGGAGAAAATAAGAAATGTTAGTTTAGTTGATGATTAACCACTTGGAAGCATAAAACCATCTGGAATTACTGTGGATTAGGAGAATGTTTAAAAAGGTTAAAGCATAAAATTTACACAGTACCGTCCTATTTAAACACTAAAATAAGCTATTACATATATAGACATCACTTACAAGGCATCCATAATCACCAAGAGCAAGCTTCATAGTCTGCCCCTTCAAGCTTTTGATAATTTTCTTCCTATCCTGAAATGCATTACCATGTTAAAATGACAAAACCACACTGGGAATACGCAAAAATGAAAAGAAATACTACTGGGTATGCAGCATGAGGCACTAACTAATGCACGGGTCAATTTGCATGACTATTTAGTGTCTCTGAAATCTACAGAAGTTATTAATAGATAAACATTGGAAAAAGCAGATGAGTGGGCAAAAACCAAGTGATCGCTCTGAAATCTCTCTCTTTTAGATACAAATAAGAAAACGGAAAGAGACAAGAAAAAAGAAAATGTACCTTCGCACTGCCATGCTTGAGGCAAGCAAGTCCTATTTTTAAACCTTCCCTCGTCTGCATGATTCGAATGAGAAGTGGTTCTGAAGATCTTTTCTTCTTAGCTTTTGATTTCGTTGGTACTTCAGCGACCCCTGATAGTTCATCTCCATCTACGACAGATGACCCTTGGGTAAGATGGGGGATTAACTGACGAATCACGTCCAAGGCTGATGTCTACAAAACACATGCATATATTAGATAGTGCGATATGCTGAAGAAACATTTCACCAAAAAAAGGACAGCTTTGTTATAAAGATATGCCAATCACGTCAATGAAGTACATTTACCTTATCCGCAATTGTTAAGTACTCCAATATGACCGTGTGAACTATGGAATACTCAACAATACCCTTTTCCAAAAGTGGCTGGATAACAGTAGTCATATACTGCAGGACAGATGATTTCTGTAGTCCAAGCTTGGAAATTGTTTCTAACAAACTGAAAAAGAAAGTTGAATTTTAGTATATTGAACTAAACAAATAACTGCAGCCACCTATGGCAGGATAAACAGGTGACTACAAAAATATTTCCCTCTGCCCAAGTTAAGTTTTGCACAGAGATGTAACAAAAGTTAACAGGACACTACAAAGCAGATGTATGACAAAACATTATAGCATGCCAACCTGCATGATTTTTGTTCAGTCAAGTCTTTGAACAGCTGAAGCTCAGTGGAGTACAATTCCAACAACAAACTTCTTTTCTGAGGCGGCGTCGCCTGATGAAAGGCGCAATCAACAACTGCAAGAAAGAGTGCATCTCAATGTGAGATTACCATGTACCCCTTTACTTGTATAGCAAATAGAAACGCATGAGTACAATGGCATTCAACCATTAACTCCTGCTGCTCTTATACACTACAAGTTCCTACCCCTTATGACAACAACACATAGCAACACATACCTGCGGCTCCTATTGTGTGACGAAGTAGAGAAGCGACATGACCATGAAGGGAAGAGATGAACAAGGCAAGCTGTTTTTTAGTGGCTGCAGTCACAAAACAAAAAGGTATGTTAGTCAAGCTAAGGGTTATCAAACAAACGAGCAACATTCTCACATATGAAAACATACGGGGGTTTAGCGAAACATAGAGAAATGTACCAAGTTTTATGAGCTTCTTCACAAGGAAAACAGCGTATTTCTTGCGAGAAAGATGGAGCAAATGTGGCTGCAGGGCAACAAAAACAGCATCCCTCTCTGGCTGTGAGCACCACTTGACACATGTCTGAAAAAAGAACGGTGGCTATCAGAATAAGCACCAAAACACCATAAGCAGCGCACTCATAAAGACTGATCATCGTCAACTTACTTGAAGAACACGTGCGGTTACATGGGATCCAGCAATTTCGAAATATTTGCCATCCATTTTACGGAGAGCCTCGGTTACTAGCCTGTAGAGATGATGACAAACCCATCGGCATAAGAAGTTGAACATAAGTTGCAACTCACAAGACTTTAATAGTGACACTTACTTGGATCTATTCTCCTTGCTCACATCACGACATCTCATCTTCTCCCATAGTACTGCCAGTTCCTGTCGATATTAGGTGTCAACAGCACCCCAAATTAGAGTTGCGCAAGGTAGGTTACTGAATCGTCATAAACAGAGGCGACGGTTCAAGCAGGCACTGCTACTGTCTGTCTATTACTGGGATTACTGGGATCAAAGCCAGTTTTTGCTTCACTATCAAAATTAAGTAATGCTATCAGCATAACTAAAAATCCAGAAGATGTAATACTCAGATGTCTACTTACTATTTTATTCTGGTTTAGGCTACAAGCAGTATTAAATGATTGGTTCTTATGTATGCAGCAAGTGCAATCTGAACTTTGAACATACAAGGAAACGTCATCAGACACACAGCCAGGTGTTGAGATGCACATGCATAATCTGAGCATACAAGAGCGGACGGCGTAAATTACCTTCTCGAGGTTGTAATTGGGCTTCCTCTTCATCTTCCTCGACTCGGACATTTCCTGCCACATCCAACGCCATTCCACAGTTTTAGCTCAAACTCAAGCAGCAGCAGCAGCAGCAGCCCACACTCTAAACCAACACCCATGCTCTGGCTATCACAGCAAAAGGAAAGGAGTCCCGTTACAATACCTTGGAGGCGACCCGCTTCTCCTTGGCGGTGACGGGCTGCGGCTTGGGCTTGGCGGCGGGGGCGTCGTAGGTCTTCTTGCGCTTGGCGGCGTCGCCGGGGCCGGGGCCAGGCCCCTTGGACGGCGCCTTGGGCCTCCCCGCGGCCTCGCGCTTCCGCTTGTTGGCGCCCGGGTGGTCGCCGCCGCCGGCCATGGCTGCGGGAGGCGGCGTCGGCGAACGGAAGAGGACGGTGTCGGCGAGCGAGGGTTTACCTGGTAGCGGCGGAGGTAGAGGCCGGGACAGGCTGGTTCGTTTGCGTTCTAGGGTTTATCGTACGCATTCCCGGCACGAGTGGGCTTGCGGCACGGCCTGGCCCGCAACGCATTGGGCCTGCTACATTTGTCGGCCCGCGCAGCGTAACCCGGCCGTCGCCCGCCGCTCCTCCTTTCTAGACGCCTAGGTTGGGCCCGGCCCACAGGCTAGCATCTGACTGGTCAAGGGGCGCGCGCGGGAGGGTTTTCACTTTTTCCCGCCGTGGAGGCCGCGGAGCGCGCCAACGAACGGGCGAACAGCGGGCAGGACGTGGACGCGTGTGCGACCGCGGGGCGGGGCGGCCTCGGTGCGCGGTGCGGTGCGCAGGGCCGCGCGGCGTGGGGCGTGGGGCGCCTCTTTTTGGGCGCTAGCGGTGTCGGCGTGCGAGCGATCCGGTGTGCGCGGTGCGGCCGGCCGTGTGGCCGCGCGGGCGTGCCCCCGACCGCACACGCGCGCCCCGCCTGCAGTGGGGTGGAAAACCTGGATGAAACCTGAGGGCGCCGCGCCGCCGCCGGCTGGGAGAGGACGGTTGGTTCGTTGGGTCGGAGATCTGGCGGATACATTTCCGTGTACGTGGTCGGGGCGCGATCGGATAGGCTACTGGTAGGCCGCAGCCCGTGTGGGCCGTGATCTCGTTGATCGTAGTACGTAGCCCTACCCGGGGTCTGGGTCTGGGCTAGTCTACGAGACTACGACTGCCACCCTGCTGATGTTGCCGGGTCACTAGCATGATTTGCTTGGAGCACAAGAAGCAGGAATCCGTTTGTTTGCAGGTTTTTCTTCCTCATGAGGTCAGGTCAAGACCGCGTAGTAGTAGTGCGAGTACTTCTTTCTTCCCAAGAAATGTCTTGCGTGCGTAAAGGGTTATCAAAAGAACGACCGGCTATTTCTGGAGCTCGTTTGCGGGTTGGAAATCTATATAACTAGATCGGGATCGCGCCTTGGCATGAAGGTGCCGGTCCAAACGCTAGATTTAGCATATGCATTCATACTGTATACATCATACAAAGAATAATGGCCAAGGTAACAGTATTTACAATCCACTCAGTATATACCGTAAAGGAAAATCCAAGGACAATCTCTCTCTAATAATAAAGCATGGATTGGGTCTCCGGGTTCACCGTCACAATACGCTTTATTCTCATGTCATAATACGCTTTTACAATTTGTTCCTACGTTACGTGAAATATGTGAGGTGGTACTAATTTGTGGAACCACGTTTCGTTAAAAAAGTCGCAGCTCGGCCGGGCCTGCGTTCCTCGGCCCGTGACGAGCGCTTCTCGAATATGGGTCTGGGCCTCTGACACTTCTTTTATTCCCGCGCATGTCTTCACAGTCCGTTTTTTTTTCTTTTGCCCTCTCTACACGAATTAGACTCGATCTCCATATCTCTCTAATTCCTCCAATAAATATCAGCGGGGGAAGAGGAGGGGAGAGGTGATTCGGTGGAGGCGAGGCAGTAGCAGAGGAAGCCGTCGAACGACAAGGCAGATTACGACCATGAGATCGAAGAGGCGAATGGGGAATCTTCGGAGCCAGTTGACGAGCGAATCCGAGATCCCCATGGCACTTTTGTCGCAGCCTGAGACCTTCGTCGCCTATGCTCCTGCCGGATCAATCGAGGGAATCCGCAGTTGTTGATTGGGGAGGAAGAAGGAAGGAAGACGAGGATGGGACAAGATTGGACGTGGGTTGGCTGGCTGCAGAGGCCCGTGCGTTGGCTGATGACGACAAGATGACAGGAGCTACGCCCATGGGCTGGTTGGAGTAGATTGATTCCTTAATTTGGAGGACACCGTACAAGCTTATGTGTCACAGGCGGTAAGCGGCACAGGACGGGTAGCAACATTGGGCGGCAGGGAGGCAGTAACCAGTGGGCTCGCGCTTGGTCGCAGGCCACAACTATCATGAGCAGATTGGATCGATGGCTGGGCTGAAGCTGCTCAAGAGCAAGACGAGATAGGCGCCTTCCTCAAGCCGAGCCAAGCGACGTGCAAAGAACGGTTTGGCTGTGTACCTGGTGATGCGATTGTGTATTGGCCGGCGATGATTCAATTAACCGAGGCTTTCTTTTTTGTGTCGCCTGTTTACATGTAATATGAATACAATCCAGTTGCTTAAGGCAGGAACCTAGACATCCGTTTGCCTCTTCCTCGTTGTTGTTCATTGTAATTGTCAAATACACTCCGCCCGCCCTCTACCATGCCTTCCTTTTCCATTCTAGGCGTCTACTCCAGCAACGCGCGCGACGGTGCAAGCTGTCGAGACAGATCTCCTTGTCGTCCCACACTGGACCTGCTTCGAGCAAGCTGCTTCTCCACCTGCAAGGTCTCATCAACGCCAGATCTAGCAAAATACAGCAGTAATTTCTTCTCTTTTCCTTTCTTTTTCTCAGATTTTTTTTCTCAATGGTGAGCTCCCTAGTGTATATGATGCTTGTACCGTGTGTGGATTAATGAATGCTCAGATACATTGCTGAGACTGCACATTATGGATTTAGTAGTGTACAACTGTACACACATTAGCAAAATACTGCACATTATGAATCTATACAGTGGCAGCCATCACGCTGAAGCAGCGGCAGCTGCTCTGACAGCCGTCTATCTTCGACCTACCTCAGTTCGGTCTAAGTCTATCCCCGTGAGGTTCGGCGCCGCTAGGAAACACCGAAGGTGCGTGTGTGCATGTGCTAATATAGATTAACTATATAGTATATATAAATATATCTCATCAGTTATCAAAGTTTAAATCAACAACATACAGCAGTACACCTCTTAAATAGTACAAATAAATCTTACTTATTTTAAGTTTTTAACTCAAAATTAAGCTTCTTTTGTTCCAAAAAATATTAGAATTACTTGAGTTTCAAAACTATATTTTGATTGAATTTAAGACTTACATATACTTAATGTTTAATTTAATTTTTTAAAGTGGAAATTTAAAATTACTTGAGGTTTGAGGAAGAGCTCACAGGGCAAATATTCAGGCCGGCATGGCCAGTGCTCAACATGAATGCTACGGCAATGTCGAGCTAGCGGCTAGGCTCAGCCGCGAGGAGCGCTCTGAAGGCCATGAGTGGCAAGGGAACATGAATGGAGTGCAATATTGATATTGATGGCATGGGCTTATGTGTTCTTGAGTCATGCTTACCGAGCTAATGGCAGCTGATACATTTTTTCCTCCCGTTGCAACGCACGGGTATGTTTGCTAGTCTATATACAATTGTACTCGGCCATCAACCGTAGTATCTTGAACTTTAACAATAGGCTTATCGAAATTGAAATGGCCTAAGTAAGCACTGGCCCTAATCCAATACATAAAATCCATAGCATAGAAAGCATATATTTGTCAGCCGAGCAACCAGATTTAAGCAAAGTAATTTTTGCACTCATTATTCTGTCAACCATGATAAAAAAAATAAAAACTAATGAAGACTCATTCAAAAGTAAGGTTTGTTTGTATGCACACAATATGGAGCCACCTAACAATATACGAACATAGAAAGCACGTAGCACAATAGGTTTAGTAGCAAATATCACAGGCATAGGACGTACGAAAGCACATGGTAGCTACAAACGATCCACAACTTTGCATGTCTTGGGCATAATGTAGACCAGGAGGAATGCCGACATGACGCGTTCATACTGATTGGTCCTCCAAGATCCAATGTAGAGGTGTTGAAAAAGATGGTCACACAGATCTTGTCGTCCTCATGTACAACACGACCATACTGAGCCGGTGATTAGCCCAAGGTGTGCTAGGAGCATGTCAAGAAATGCCCTGTGTGGGATCCTAAACACTCGCTTGGTATCCTGTAGTGCCTAAGAACATAAAACATAAGGCCACGAGGAGTTGCTTACAGTAATTGCATCACAGCACGGGAGAGATATCAGAGAAATCAGTCGCGGATAAAAGCACTCATAGTGATAAAACAAGATACGCTAAGTCTACCGGTTAATCAGATTGTCATTGAGCATGTGATGAGCATTTTTAAGAACAACGGGGCTATTAATCAGTTGAAAATACAACTTGTTTTAGTAAGAGCACTCGATAAGGTAAGATCAATATGGTCACCTTCAAAGACAGAAATCTAATTAGCACGTAGAATGCTTGCGCTTTCTAAACAAAATACATCAACATAGAAGGCCTAGACAACATCTAATCAATCGAGGAAACACCTACAGAGCTATTAACTACACGAAGAGCGCGTCAAAGAAATAGAGTTAAAATCATCACACTGCCTGGATCTAAATATCACTATTTCTTTACTACTATCTGCGAGCATCAATAATCCCTAGATCAGATGCGTGTTTCTTTGCAGAGTTAGCAATGTTTACATCTGTGAGTACTTCTTTTGATTATAAAAATTCCTGAGTCACACACTCATCATATTTTTGCAACCGTCTAGTAAAATCATAGAGGGGACGGGATGGGTTTTACCTGACCTGTGCAAGCGCCCGTATACGGCTGTTAGTGGAGCCAGCGGAACCTGACGAGCCATGGACATCGAGCTCTTCGTCAGCCATCACCGTCTAAACAGAGCACGTGGATCCAAGAAATTACTCAGAGGCGGGCACACATTTAGAGTTCAAAAGGAAAACAAACCATGTAACTGTCCATTAATGAGGACTGACCTGGTCAGTGGAGCTGAGTTGCGAAGGGAGAATCGAGATAGAGGGCTTGTCTGGGCACCAAGAGCTCTAACAATGGGGAAACTCCGCAGTTCGGTCTTTTACCTCTGGTGAGTTCTACGCCATCCTTACATGATTCATTAGCAGCCACCAAGAAACGATCTGCAGAAAACAAAATCAAAGTGAGATCAAATGGAATCACAGGCGGGAAGCAGTGAAGTACTATACATGCAAAAAAGACATGAGGAAAGAAGGGAGACCAATGCATTA